CAAGCGGGTTTTTCTTGTGAATTTGGTCTTAAATTTTTATTTCAAGTGGCATTAAAAAGTTTTAAAAAGTCTTGAATTTAACTTGCCTTATGCTGTAGGAACCCTGTATTTGTCATGTGGTCGGTTTATAACATAAAGTTACTGTAAAACAAGATGTTGAAAAAAAAACTTTGGTGACACGCTGTATAAAGCAAGCTCATTACCGTAAATGCTTCTTTTCTTACAGCGGCTTCATCGCCTTCAGTTCTGAGTCAGGGTCAGGATCCCGCTGCTCCCAGTTCTGTAAGCGCTGCAGGAACTGGTGCTGAGGAAGGAAACTACCTATCAGAGCGCCATGCAGGAAACGACGTGGAGGAAGAGGAAGGAAGCTACGACAGGGTGAGGCCCGACCCTGTCACAGAGTTCAGCTGCGGCCTGGAGGAAAGGGAGACGGGAGGACCCTCCGTCTGTGGCGGAGGAGGAACGTCAGAGCTGCACCAGTATGACGGTGTCGCTGAGGAGGAAGAAGAGCGTCAGAACGGTCTGGACTGCTTCCTGAATCCTAAAATCCCCGCCGTCTCTGTGATGGACAGACTGACTGAGATCCACGGCTCAGAGACTCTCAGCTTTAGCTCCGCCATTGCTGCTCAAGTGGTGGCGCGCTCGCAGTCGCTTGTCAACATGGAGGAGCAGACGTTTGGAGACGACGATGATGATGATGAGGAGGAGGAAGGGGAAAACGCCATCATCTCAGAGAAGAATTAAACATCAAGCTGGCTGCTTTAACCGAGCAGAGACAGTATTTATGTCTGACTGTCTGTTTGGTCCGTATTACGTCCCGTTATGTTCCAGCTCTCATCTATCACTGTGCTTCACCTACAATTCTTATTGCTGTGGAAACTCAGGAACAAGACCCACTGACACAGTGGGGTTCAAGTAGCAGATTATCCTCAGATACAACCAGATAATTTAGCATCGTCTGTCTTACCTGTGGATGTAATAGAAAAAAACATCTCCTTCGCTGTAATCACCTTTCATTTAGTTGATTTGTTGTCACCTCACATGGTTACTGATGGAAGAAGAAAGAGCTTCACTGCTCAATTGTTTACCCACTACACAAATGTTTATATTGAATTTAGCCAAATTGATCTATAATTCGAACTTTTTCTGCTCTTAAAGACGAAAGCCAACTTAAAAATGTTGATATAGTGATAAAAATGGTCACATACTTTCAGTTCAAAGCATTTTACTTTTACTACAGCTTGAAACAATAGCTGCTTAACCCCAAAAACAATCAATTTGTGTCTGAAATAGTTTTTATTTGCAGTATTAAATGTAACGCACCCTTTAACTTAATGGCAAAACCCTGAATGATTAAAAAGAAACACTTTTAGACGCAGCATTACAATCATGCACCTTTAATTAGATCAAATTTATTCTGTAGCACAAAAGGAAAAGTTGTAATTGTTCGCCACTACCTCACTGCTGCCATACATAGTCGCTCCTGCTGCCGGTGTGTTTTACCAGTAAATAAAAGGACTCTAAATTGAATATTTTAGGTGTGCCAGGGTCTTAGGAAGAGAACTGGACCCACAGCATTACATGTCCTCCACCGTACTGAACATCAAGTGCTGTTTCATATATTCGTCCTCTTTCCACACCAAAGTTAGGGAGTGTTTCTTGCAGAGAAGCTATAATAACATGGACAATTGGCCAGTAGATGGCTTGATATGTTATAAATCACCCTCCTCTCTGGGAGCGGTGGGAACAATGAACTTGGTTTCTCTTCCAACGTGGATAAAAACCCAATAAAACTATGATAGCTGCATTGGTTTTATTGTTTTTAAATATTTCTCTTACTGTGGATATTTGGAGGTTTAGGTTAGGAGATGTTTTCTTACACCCTGTTTCCTGACAGAAGAATTAACGCACATCTAACTTGTATTTATTGTTCTCTTTGTTTTTTTTGCTTTTTTAGGTTAAAGAATAGTTGGTGAAATGAAAATAAGAAAAACATTTAGCTCCATTTCATTTAAATAGATTTTTTAATACTTTTCAAGAGTTTTTCTCCCCTTGCTGAATGAATAATCTTGAGTTAAATGTTAAAATTTTTAGAAATGATTGCTGCTGTCAAAAATGAATTTCTTCTAATGGTTTTTTACTCAGAGTGCCAATAGGTTTGAGGGTGCTACACATTAATATTCCAATCAAACTGTTTGTTGGATCAGATTTAAAATGATGTTCTCTTTCAGGAAATATTCAGTCTGAATTCATTGGTAGAAAATATAGACGAAGCCTAAAGAAAAAAAAGTAGATTTGTATAGTTTAAAATTTTATTTCAATTTAGTATGGGGAAAAAAGCTGACTTTTTTTCTTAGAATTCTGACTTTAATCTTAGAATTCTTACTTTAATCTCTGAATTCTCTCTTTAATCTCAGAATTCTGACTTTTTTCTTAGAATTCTGACTTTTTTTCTCAGAATTCTGACTTTTTTCTTAGAATTCTGACTTTAATCTTAGAATTTGGACTTTAATCTCTGAATTCTGATTTTTTTCTCAGAATTCTGACTTTTTTTCTCAGAATTCTGACTTTTTTTTCTCAGAATTCTGACTTTTTTCTCAGAATTCTGACTTTTTTTCTCAGAATTCTGACTTTAATCTCAGAATTTTGGATTTTAATGTAGATGGGCACCATGAAGGAAGAGTTGTCGGAAGCACTCAGTGTCACTGACAAAAATGTGAGTTGTTTGAGGTGGCCAGTGACACATAGGTGGAAAATGACGGAATTTGGAAACTTTTTACGTGCCTGAGGGGTCCCTTCATTTATGGAGGAGCAGAAGGACATTAAAACAAGAGAGCTAGTCTCTAAAACAGACATGGCTATGGCTTGATGCTAACATGTTTGTTAGCTGTCAGAGATTCTGAGAAAAAAGTGAGAATTCTGACTTTTTTCCGATACTAAACTGAAATAAAATTTAAAAATTAGTTAACCTTTTTTTTTTCAGTGGCCCTAATCCTCTTCTGTAATAATTAGGAAAATGAAGCATGAGAAAGAAGATTGAAGATTGAGGGTTATTTGCAGTAGAAGTTGTACAGTTTGCACCTTTGTTGGTGTATAAATACTATTAGTCCAGCGGGAAAATCCGGAATACAATCTGAACACACTCAGCAAAGCACGACTCAGCTGACTTCTTCCAAATACATGTGAGGGAAGAAGAGGAAGTCTTGTGCTTTTTTTTTTCTTTCTTTCTTATCAGCGCTCTATTTCTGTCCCCCTGGTCCGTGCCATCTGCTCTGGGGAAGAGGGGGAAAAGCAGAGCGTACTCTCATCGTGCTGCTTCCTGTTACATTCTTGGGAAGCTTTCCAGTTTCTAGAGAGAACTCAAGACAAATTTCACCAGTCTGTGTTTACAGGGGGGTCCCTCATTGAAACGTCAGGGTTCAAAGTGTTTAACGTGAATGTCATTTGCTATGGTGAACATTTGATGCTTAAAAACATAAAAAATAAAGCACCCGAGCGTGATGATCTTAGCTCCGTCCTTCATCTCCACCTCGTCACCATGTTTGCCTTCCTGCATATTTCCACCTTGAAATAAAGCACCACTCTGGAAGTGTTGAAGTGAGTCGGCTGCTTTGTGTCTCAGTGGGGGTTTACAAACAGGTTGGGTGGGTTACTGGATCTGTTTTGATAGCCTTTTCTTTTGTTGGATAAGTGACACCCCTCCCAATCCCTTTTCTAACGTTTCCTTCTTAAATGGGCTTCATAGATTAATTTCAGGAGGAACTTTCTACTAGTTACTACTTGGATTAACAGTTGGTAGAAAAAAAAGACTACTTTCATTAACAAGAGCCCCTCTAGTCCTTATAAATATATTGCAAGTTACAAATTTAACTAAAGATTTTTTTTTTTAAATGGTCAAGTTTTTTTTATTTGCTTATAGTAATAATCAGTATCCACAGTGCTGTAAATGGTAAATGGCATGTACTTATATAGCGCCTTTATTCAAGTTAGGAGACTTGACCAAAGCGCTTTACACTACATTCATTCACCCATTCACGCACACACTCACACACTGTATCCATAACATCTTTATATGTGAGGCAGTTAAATGTCTTCAAATATTGCTGATATAGGTTATATTTGTACCACATTTAAAATAACCTTTCAGTCAGTTCAATCATAACAAACATTGGTTGAAAAGTTTTCTGTTTCAAGAAAACAAGCAGATGGTATCAAGTCATATAAACCAAAATGCAGGAATTAACCAAGCGGTTATATATAAACTTTCAAAATGTATTAAAACCAAGTCTCTGCTCTTTTATTTAACTGTAGCGCGTATGCCACCTAGTGGCTTTTTCAATTGGACTGAGATTCAGGCTATACTCGGGTCATGACATCGACCCTCTGTGTCTTTCTTTAAGGAATCTCCATAGTTTTTGCTCTATGGAAAGATGCAATATAAACTTTAAAAATGTATGGTCCCCAAATATCCTTTTTGAATATTAGGGATAAGAAAAATTTGGATTTATTGAAGATGTAATGACAGCCATCTCTCCAGTGCCTTTACCTGACATGCAGTGCTATGTCAGTATTGACTGATGGAATGTGCATGTTTTCCTTAGTAAGTCACTGTTGGCACTGTTGCCTTGCAGCAAGAAGCTTCTGGGTTCAGTTCCTTGTCTGTGGTCTTTCTGCATGGAGTTTCCATGTTCTCCCTGAGCATGGGTTCTCTCCAGGTACTCCTCCTCCCACAGTCCAAAAACATGACTGTCATGTTAATTGGCTTCTCTAAATTGTCCTTAGGTGTGAATGTGAGTGTGTGCATGGTTGTTTGTCTCTGTATTGCCTTAAGAAAGACTGGCAACATGTCTAGAGTGCCTCTCGCCCATAGACTGCTGGTGATAGGCGACCCTGACAAGGATTACGCAAGAGAAGATGAATGGATGGATGGTTGGAAGATTTCTTTTAGGGTTGTAGATTGATGTAAACAGTAGTCCTGTGTCATATTTGGGATCTGCTTTTTTCCAGGCGGTGTACATGCATTCATTACAAGCTCTAAAATACATAAATAGTAAGAATGGTATTATCTTTATTTATGTAAGTATTATTTTATACAGTATTGTATAACTTTAAACCTGTTGTATAGAATACTGTGCAGTTTGTACATTAAATGGAATAATTTAAGCATAAGTATGTTATAACAAATACTACAAAATCTACTGCTAGATTTTAGTAGTATTTTTTTTTTTTTATTACACAAATTTACAGCTAAAATCATTAGTAGTGGTAGTAAATGAGTTATCTATAGGTATTCCATCTTTGGCCTTAGCTGAGTCTGCAGGTTTTACACCGTGAGGCGTTCCATTGCTCAAATGTGGCTGGGATATATACCCCCCAAAAAATCCCCCATAGCGTAAGATAAATTATTACATAGTTGGATTATATAATGCTGTCCTCGTGCAATATATATTTTAGTCTATAAGGCAGTTCTGATGTACAAAAAAATGCACGGTTCACAATAATACACGATAATTTAGACGAAAGTGTCAGACAGTATATCGAGGCATGAACCGCGTTTTGTAAAGTCCTGAGTGTTCATGAACGCACCAAAAGTTCCCTCCTGCTTCCTTTTCGAGCAGCGCCTGCGATCATGGCGGACGTTGTCGCGGAGCAGAGAGTGGTCCAGGCACCAGTCAACGAAAGAGAACTGAACGGAGAGGCCGAGGTCCGGGAAGAGGCCGACCCAGTGGAGGAGGCAGCCAAAAAGAAGAAGAAAAAGAAGAAAAAGAGCAAGTCTGCAACGACAGGTGAGGGTTTTATGAGGCTACTGTCATGCTAACAGCTAACGGAGCTGATATTAGCTTAGCTGAAGCTGCGTCAAACTAGCTAGGGTTAGCCGCATCGGAATCGGAAATATTTAAAAGTGGCTTTTAATTTAACTTAAAAACAGTCAATTTTTGCTCTTGCCTCGCTTAGTGATCGGTGGGTATTTTTGCATATCTAATGTTATGCTTTGACATATCGCTGATCATAAAGACTGAAAACTTTATTACATCGGTGAAATTTAAAGCTACTCCCAATTTTTTTTTCAATCGAGAAACCAGAAAAACGATTCTTAAACAGACAGAAAACAATACTTTCAAAATCCTCCACCCCAAAACCCCATTTATGCTCAATTATTTCACTTTTAAACACTATACTGTAATGTCCAGAATAATTATATGATTGTATAAAACATGTTCATCCTGTTTTATCCTTGCTTTTACTGGTTACTAACCCGAAAAAAAACATTCACAGATCAGACATTCAAAAAAATGATCTGTTTTGAAAGGTTGTTCTTAGTATCTTGGGTATTATTGTCAGAAAAAAAAGTTTTAAAAGCCCTCTATTTAAAGTGCCCTTGTGTTAAGTATAACATGCGTTATCTTAGTCAACAAACCTCATGTTTCATAATTATATTCTTTTTTTAAAGTAAGTGAATTTCTTTACTCAGTTTGTTAAATCAAATGTTTAAAATGTTGAGCTTTTCCTAAAAAACAAGCATTTCTGCAACTTCGTTTGTACGTGCCAGCTTTTCTGCTTTTATTTTGAAGGGAAACCGGATGCACCGCATTTATGCATTTAGCTTGATGCTGCTTGTCTGTTAGCCATGCGGGTTTTAGAGCAGCGTACATAAAGATATTTGACAATCCGGCCTCAGAATAAGATGGGACCTTCAAGATAATTGACATAAAATCAAGGTTTAAGGACATTAGTTGTTCAGATTTTAAACTTAAACACCTAACTTCGTTTATCTCGCCCCACCTTTTGGCTAATGCTGATGGTGCTGAACCTCTGCCAAGTTTTCCTGTTTCGTAATTCTCCTTTTAGTCGTTATTATGTAAGAAAACATCATAATTCATCAGTGCTCGGTCAATTAAATACTAATGAACGACATACTAAATATACTAGATAAACCACAATGTCCCATTCACTCTCAAAACCCAACGTTAGTTTACTTTAAGAAAGTACAACTAAGAAAACAAGAGGTAAAGGCTAATGAGTACGACTTAGATAGGGTTGTTTTAAGGTTTTCATGCAAATTATTTTCACAGGCAAACCATATTCCTTTTTGCAATTCAGATATACTTAAACAAATTTTCATTTGTATTAGTTTAAAATCTCTTTTTAATCTAAATAAAAAGATTTGAGTACTTTTGTCCCACATCTCATAGAAATCATGGTGTATTTATGAGTTGATGGAAATCTTTTCCTATCTGATGTGGAATTGCTAGAGGAACTGAACAATCTAGATTTTCTCCATTTTCCTGCTTATTAATATCAGCTGAGCTTTCTCTATCACATGGGGCGTAAAGGTCAGAGAAAGTCGATCCAATTGACTACAGTCATTTTCGGAAAACAGATTTTAATGAATTGCGACTGAAATACGTATACTTTGATAAAAATGGCGTCCATAGGGCCCCCTCTAATCGATTATTCATTGAGATTTTCTTAATGTTTCTTAGCTAGATGTTTAGTTTCTGCATGGTCTATGATGCTCTGTGTTTGTCTAATGTTGCAGATATTTTTAAAAGTAGGAAACATAATGTTCATGATTTCCTTTATTGTCAGAAGAATTTCTTTGAGACAGTATTAATTCATTGCCACTCGAATTTCATGATAAATATCTGTAGGGTATAAACCTATCCCAATTACAGAGGTTTCATCACAGTTTTCTCTGCATGATCACATACCAGTTGGTCTTTACGTGCTGGGTGTGCTGTGCGATGTGATTCAAAGGTTTTTCCTAGGTGTAGTTCTATGCAAATATTCTTGTTTTGCCTTTTTCCTGACAGTAAAATAAATAAAAAAATATTTTTCTTTTTTCCGACTGTATTCAAAAGTGTAACACAGATTATTAACTGATTATCTCTTTGATCGATTAATAAAAAAAAATTTCCTTGGAACATTTAGTAGCTGTTTTGTAAAAACTAGATGAAAATTTTTTTGGGATATACGTTAGAGCCATGCAAAACATGTTCAACCATTCAACCAACTTGCATGTTAGAAAAAAAACAGTCTTCAGTTTCATCGCTCTTGCAAATTAGGGAGAAATGAACAACTTTATCCTTCAACATAAATGGACAAAAAATGCACAGTAATGGATTGTTGTCCTCGTGTTAAATGGAACCACAAATTGACATGTTTCCAGATTTGCTACTAGAACCATCCACTCAGATATGAAGATGTGCTGAGCTCTAAGAATCAAACTCCTGGGAAGGATTAAACTCATCTTTAGAGCAGGCAGAAAAATAAACAACTTAAAATAATTTCCCCCTGTTACTGTGCTCCTGATTTAAACATACAAAGGTTTTAGTAGTTCCTATAAGAAGAACATTTTAGAACCAGTGCATTTATATTCAATGCAAAACTCGAGGTTTTGTTTTATTTCAGACTGGCTGTTATTAAAATATCTTTTGAGCACAAACACAACATAGAGCGATTCAGGGTAACATAACCTTTGTTGTGTAATAACATTTATTTTTTTCTTTTTCCTGTGGCACCATAGCTTACTGGGATAAAAAGGGATGGTTTTTCTTCCCTTAAATGTTTCTCTAGATAAATAAAAAACAGAGTTTTATGCATAAAGAAAAAAAGAGATAAATTTAATGCAAGGTGGCATACTTTCTTATGTATGATGAACCAAAGTATTGTTAACTCCTGTAAAATCTTCTGATTGTTTGAATGAGATCAGAAATCATTGGTTTCTAAAACATTAAAAGTTTTCCTACAGTTTAAGGAAGGTCTGTCTGCACCAGATGTGAGGACAGAGTAAATTTTTACCATTTTCAATAATCAGAATGTAAATTAGCACAGACCCTGTCAAGCTGAATTGTCATGCCACATCTTTATAATTATTTTTTTTCCTTCTTGCTGCAGCTGTTGAGCCTGAGGCGGATGGTGTGGTAGATGGAGTGGTAGAGGTGACCAAACAGCTGGAGAAGCAGGCGATTGAGGACAAGGAGAAGGATGAAGACGGAGAGGATGGTGAATATGTCACACTTAAAAAATAGCCATGAGTTTCCCGTCAGTCAATTTATTTTCCAAATGGTTGATTGGCTGTGTGTTCATTTACTCAGATGGAGACGATGGGGAAAATGCAGCAGGAAAGAAGAAGAAGAAGAAAAAGAAGAAGAAAGGACGTAAGAGGACCATGTTTTTGTATATTACAGCTGCCTGTTCATTATGAGGTTTCTGATCTATATCAAGATTGTTCTTTATTTATTTTTTTCTTGGTTGAATTTTCAGCCAAAACTCAAACGGATCCCCCATCTGTTCCCATCTGTGAGTTGTACCCTAGTGGAGTGTTCCCCATCGGACAAGAGTGTGAATATCCTGTCTGTCAGGATGGGTGAGTAGACGACATGCATCCTAATTTTCACCCTTTAAACTTTTGCAACTAGTTCTAGTTCTTCTTGATTCATCTCCTGTATTAATTCATTGGCTCAGTTGTGTTTAAGGAGGGAAGAAACTAAACAAGCAGGATGTATGTGAGGCATCAATAAAGAGCTGAACATGTTCTTTCTTTCCATAGTGGATTTTATTTTATTTGCTTCAAAAATTTTATATTTTCTTAGTACTATTTGGAGTTTTAGATGAGCATTGTGTCAAAGTTCAAATGTATCAGATTCTGTGCAAAAAAAACTGGGCTACTATAGGTCAGAAGTGAGTTTATAGCCATGATTCTAGGCTTTAGTGAACATCTCTGCTGCTTTCTGGTTGCGGGTACGAATCTATGCTGTGTTCTTCCAGTCGAAGTGCAACGTGGCGGATGACCATGGAGGAGAGGCGGGTGATGGACAAAGCCAACGAGGAGGTGTGGAACGACTTCAGGCAGGCGGCCGAGGCCCACAGACAAGTCCGGAAACACGTCCGCAGCTTCCTCAAACCCGGGCTCACCATGATTGAAATCTGGTAAGGGTGCTGACATCACAGACAGAGTGGGTTATTTACTATTTATTATCTACTTTACTTTTCTAAGTCACATCAAGAACTTCACAACATGAAACTACTGTTTGCTTCATGGTTAAAACTGTTCTGGACAAGCAAAGGAAAAAAAATCTTAGTATTTCATGACCTTTCCTACCATGCAGCCATCTGTTGGTCTATTTGTCTTTCCTTACTTTGCGTTTGTTAGGCAGCTTTTTACTGCTAGTTGATCACCTGCTTCCCTCCTCTTCCCAGCGAGCGTTTAGAGGATTGTTCCCGTAAGCTGATAAAAGAAAACGGGCTAAATGCCGGGCTGGCCTTCCCCACTGGCTGCTCCCTGAACCATTGTGCTGCCCACTACACTCCCAACGCTGGAGACCCCACCGTCCTGCAGTACGATGACGTCTGCAAGATCGACTTTGGAACGCACATCAACGGTAACTGACTGAGCTTTGTTCAGATTGATTCGCTGACTTCCGTTCATCCCACTCGGAGCAGCAGATCTTTACAGGTGTTCTCCTGTGTTGCTCTGCAGGGCGGATCATTGACTGTGCCTTTACCGTCACATTTAACCCAAAGTACGACAAGCTGCTGGAGGCTGTGCAAGACGCCACCAATACCGGAATCAAAGTAGGACACAAAACACTCAAACCTGTCCTCCATCTTGGAAATGTAAGGACCCTGCAGTTGATGCTCTCTTGTTGATCTGTTGCAGAACGCAGGGATTGATGTTCGCCTGTGTGACGTCGGAGAGGCGATTCAGGAGGTGATGGAGTCCTACGAGGTGGAGATCGATGGGAAAACATACCAAGGTATTCATTCTGTCCATAGAGATAGAAAATGCGCTTATAAACGACCCATGATTTCACATTAACAGAGTTCCTTCATGTTCAGTTTTCTAATTTTAAACATTGTCAGCATTTGTTTTTACAATTAATCAATTGATCTTAAAGGGGAATGCCAGTTTATTTTTTTACATAGGGCCCTTGATTTTACGTTATTACATCATGTTCTACTCACCCATATGAATTTTGTGTCATTTGAAGCTTTTCTGAAGATATTCTGTTATGTCCAAGTAACGTCTTCCTATAGGCGAACGCGTAGAAGGCACAAACTAAACTGTTCATAATTTATTTTTTATGGTACGCCAGCATTCATAACATTTAGGCGAAACACTGTCCCTCAGACATCCGCGGTTATATGTTTTATATTTATATTTTTTTTAAACAAAGCGGAGTGTGTATGATGTCATCCGTGCTGCTGCTTTCTCAACCCGGTTATCAAGGTTGTCTCGGCTACTGTTTTCAAACTGACTCCCAGCTGCTCCTGCCTGAACTCAGGAACGCCCTCTCACTTTACCTCTATTGTCCGTGTGATCTAACCCTCTGTTATGGGCACTCTGACATAAACAAACATGGACAGAGCGCTGGAGAAAGATGCGATTCTGCTCAGAAAAAAAACCCATAATCAAAACAAAACAATCCGCCAGTTTGCAAGTTGAGCCAGTCTAAGTCTTTTTTACAAAGATGCTTTTATAAATAGTAGTTTATTACTCTGTCTAGTATTTAGGCCTAACTTGCTTGTAATGGCGATCTTTACAGTCACTAGTTTGTCAGCTCTGAGCTGCCGTAGCGCAAGCAATCATCCTCCACAAATTGGAACCAACGCCTATGTAATAATAAACGGCAATTTCTAAGACAAGGCAAACATAAAGATTGATATTTTCAGTTCATAGATGATGATAACATACGTATGGATAATAAATTACATTTGTCAGGAAATCTCTGTAATTACACTGTACTTAAAAGGTGTTCTGGGAAAACAGTCTGATGGTTGGAGTACACTAGGAAGAATCTGATGTCACTGTGAAGCTGTTAGTCATTCATGCTGACCATGCAACTGGTGTTAGCAATGCTTTTAAGCTACTTCCTCCAAGCTGTCGGACTTCAGCTAGACATTAACTCTGGACTCGTTTAGTAGCTTCATCAATGGATACAATCCGACCTGGTAGTTCAGACGTAATGCCAGTAGATGGCACCACATCCATTTCTGTTATCTTATGTTAAGCCTTGTTACTGGGGTTGT